CCGCAAAAAAAAGTAGGTGGGTCACATGAGTGATCCCTTTTATGAATGTCAGAGCTTTTGACCATGATGGGCAGGCTCCGTATCTGAGATGTATGTGCAGATATGAATAGGAGCACATAAATTATACATGTGGCTTCCGTGACAGCAACTAGCACGGCCCTTGAGAGCAGGCAGATTGTCCGGCTGTGCTTGGGTGTAATATCAACCCCAGACAAGAGTCAGTTCGAAGGAGCTTGAATACACCAAGAAGGGAGAGCTATTTCCATCAATATTTTCCAACAAGCTTCAGGTTGTGTGGGCCCAGGGGCAATGCATCAGCCTGGGATATTGGGGGGGGGAGGGTTATCTCCTTAATTACCCCCCCCCTGAAGCTTCCATTTCCTCAGTCATTTCCGCTGCCTTAAAATCCACCCGTGACCTTTCCACTTTTGAAAACACCCAGGGCTCTTGCGGGGCTGTCCTGGGACAGACGGAACATTGTTTGGCAAGCTGGATGACAAACAAGGGATCCTTTGAGCGATGTGAGAACAGCGGGATCGCAAGGCGGGCGAGAGGCTTGGCCTTTTGTTCCAGCTCCCAAAGAGGCACCAGGAGCCAATGACAAAATCCAGAAACCACATGGGGGTGGCACTAAGGCTTCCTAGGGTACTTCTTCCCACCTCTATCCTTCCTCCCTTGGGTGTGTTTTGGCTTGGGGATGCCAACCGAGAGCCACTGTGTCTGGGTGGCACTGAAGCGAGAGAGAGAGAGAGAGAGAGAGAGAGAGAGAGAGAGAGAGAGAGAGAGAGAGAGAGAGAGAGAGAGAGAGAGAGAGAGAGAGAAAGGGGGGAGAGAGGGGGAAGGAGGGAGGGAGGCAGGGGGAGAAAGAGAGAAATCCAGAGACCCAACAGGGGCCCAGAGAGAGAGAGGTGTCCCCCCCCCCATGTAAGGCCTGCTCCTCCTAACTTAAGAGACAGACAGCAGGAGCGATGGTAGCTTGGCAGCCCTGCAGAACTGGGAGTAAAAGAGCATTTCATCTCATGGTTTTGTGAAGGCCAGCCCTGGGATGAGTCACCCTGCATTTTCTGAAGCGATTGCAGCTGTAGCCGGGTGAGCAAGAGCAGAAGGGGCTCTGGAGGGCACCCCTGGCCACCAGCCAAGCCAAGAGGCGCCTTTGCGGAGATGTCAGGGAGAGGTCAACAGGGTGACACGCTCCAGGAAGCAAACTCTTATTTCCTAAGGCTCAGAGCTGAGAAAAGAGACAAGGGGAAGGCAGAAAAGTGTGGGGGGAGGGGCTAGAAAGAGGGAAGAATTTACCAGTGCCTCTTTCGCTCACTCAGTGGGATGAACAAAATGAGGAAGGAACAAAGCACTCAGTTTGGTCTTTGAAAGAACTCAAAGGTCATGTTGCATTTCTGCTAAAAACTGTCGGGTTGGAGATGGTTGGCTCTTGAGTGGGAGATCACCAGGAGACCCTAAACCAGTGATGGCGAACCTTTTAGAGACCCAGTGCCCAAATTGCAACCCAACCCCCCCTTATTTATCACCGGGTGCCGGGTGGACGTGGCCGTGGTGGTCATGGCAGAATGGCAGACTGGGTGGGCGGGGCCGTGGCGGCGGGGGCCAGTTCCTCACCATCTCCAGGGCACGGCACGTGTGCCCACAGAGAGGGCTCTGAGTGCCGCCTCTGGCACGCATGCCATAGGTTCGCCACCACTGCCCTAAACTGTAAGGTGGACTGGGGAAGGAAGGAAGGAAGGAAAGAAGGGAGGGAGGGAGGGAGGGAGCAAGCAAGCGAGCAAGCAAGCAAGCATTTCTCAACTTTAGCAACTTTAAAATGTTGGCTGGGAGTTGCCCACACATCTTAAAGTTGCCAAGGTTAAGAAACCAATAGCTGATACTTCTGTACTGTGGTCCAGAGAACTCCATGGACACATCCACGTAGGTCATCTAATGTTTCCCTGGTTGCCAATTTGTTTCCAGTGAAATACCAAGTACTGTTTATCATCCTTCCAGCTGTCTATGACTTACAAAGGATTACAGAGAACTTTTCTCTCCACATGAGCATCCCTGCCCCAACTTCTTGAGTTCATTTGTGGTGATTCACCTATATTTGCTCCCGGTTTAACTTGTGGGGATTGAAGGCCAACTCTTTCTCCAGCCCTGCCCGTTCATTCTTTCCAGAGCTTCCCTGCTGAGAGGCTTCTTATCATTGTTGCTCTGAAATCTGTAACAGCCCTGCCTCTAATTTTGGCTCTTATGCAGCAACGGTTAAAATATGTCAATAGTTGGCCATATGTGAAGTGTAACAAATAAAATGAAATAGTTGGTTTTTCATCTCAGATTTCTCTTTTTCACTGCCTCCATCTTGCACTCCCTCCTGCAGCATGAAGGGATTAATGTTAGACCATACCAGATTCCTCTTTCTGGGGGGAAGCCACTCCAGACGATCTCCTGCAAGGCATGAAAGTGGGAGGTGTGCTCAGTCCCTCTTTCGGAGGGTACCAGCTAGCAGGTCACCTTGTTGTTATTTGCGAAGTTGTGTCCGACCCATTGCAACCCCATGGACAATGTTCCTCCAGGCCTTCCTGTCCTCTACCCTCTTCTGGAGTCCATTTAAGCTCATGCCTCCTGCTTCAGGGACTCCATCCATCCAATTCTCTGTCATGCCCTTCTTCTATTGCCCTCCATCTTTCCCAGCATCAGGTTCTTCTCCAGTGAGTCCTTCCTTCTCATTAGGTGGCCAAAGTACTTGAGTTTCAACTTCAGGATCTGACCTTCTAAAGAGCAGTCAGGGTTGATCTCCTCTAAGACTGACAGGTTTGATCGCCTTGCAATCCATCCTCTCTTTGCCCAAATAGTGAGCAACAGCTGGTCTAAAAATACAGTCAATCCTGAAATCATCCAGGGGATTTGAAAAGTCATGTGAAACCAGGAGAGGACCCTCCATATGGACAAGCTGATGGAGTCCTTTCCTTTGATCAGTGAAGAGATTCCTGGGCCTCCTTGTGCAGTTAGTCGGCCTCAGGCTGCTGGACTAAATGGTCCAGGGGTCTGATCCTGCAGGGCGAGGCTTGTGTCCTTATGATCTCCCCAGAACAGGCCAGGAGAGAAGCGCTTGCAGCAGCCAGTAAAGACAGTCCTCGACTTACAACCACGACTGAGCCCAAACTTTATGTTGCTAAGAGAGAAATTTGTTAAGTGAGTTTTGCCCCATTTTACAGCTTTTCTTGACACATTTGTTAGGTGAATCCCTGCAGTTCAGTTAGGAGCACGGTTGTTAAGTCAGTCTTGGCTTCCCCCCTGACTCTGCTTGTCAGGAGGTCGCAAAAGGGGATCGCGTGATCCCAGGGGACACTGTAGCCCTCATAAATATGAACCAGTTCTCAAGCATCCCAATGTAAATCACCCAGGATGCTGCGAGTGTCGTAAGTGTGAAAAAGAGTCCCTTTTTTCAGTGCCCTTGAAACTTGGGACGGTCACTAAGCAAGCGGCTGTAAGTCGAGAACTACCTGTATTAGGAAAGGCAAGCAGAGCAGACTAAACAAGCCCCCTTCACACGTGCCCCCAAGACACGTGCTCCCGCCCTTGGAAGAGAAAAGGCTTTCCAAGCTTTTGGCACCGGGAATGCACTGAGGCACCCCACACGGGGCCTCCGGCCTGTCGCCACGAATTAAGACGCTTGATGCCCTCTCTGCCGGGAGAGGAATCCCGCGCGGGCTGGCTCCGGCTTCTGCTCTTTCTGCCCGGCTCCCCGGCCAAGAAAACCCACCCAGCGCCAACCATTGTGCGCGAAAGTCCCCGCTGGCTGCGGATCAGGCAGCCAAGAAGGCATCGGCGGCGGCGTGCTGCCCTCTAGTGGATCACGGCCGCGTCGCTCGGTGCGCCAAGCTGGCTGAAGAATCCTTCGGGCACCTTTTCGCGGATGCCGAGCGGAGCGCAGCGCAGCGCGACCCAAACACGCAGACTCCTGCTCCATCTCGGGCTCTATAGACCCAGGAGGCTCGGTTGTCCGCCTTCGGTCTTAAAAATTAACACACACACACGCACGCACGCACGCACACTCTCACCGCCGCAACTTGATTGCTGCAGTGCTGTGCCACGAGAGACATAAAGCGATGCTCGGGACTAGCGCACCTTTTCGGTGCGGACGGATGACATCTAGCGGTCGCCGCGTTTTTGCAGTTTTATATTGACCAATAAAGGAAAATATTTGCTTACGTGGTCTATTGGTCTGTTTATTGTTATTTAGAACTGAAGAAACTTCTTGGATGAGAAGCGAAACTTTTTTCAAGGAAAAAAAGAAAGTCCAGCTACCTTTTGGAAAAGCACCTTTGGGACAACCATGACTTGGATGATTGAGACTCTCCGTGGAAATTTCTTTTACTTCAGTTTTTCAGACAGGACCATTTTAAGGTGTGTGGGCTTCAAATCTCAGCATTTCCCCAGTCAGGATTCATTCATAGCTATCTTTTTTGAAAAAGCCCCTCAAACTTGGTAATTTTAACAGGAGTGGACTTCAACTCCCAGAATTCCCTAGCCAGAAAAACATCCTGAAGAAACACACTAGCAAACTACTTCTATATGGCTATTAGAACCCATGGACTTGTCTATAAAGCCACTAGTAGACCTACTTGACACAAAAGAGGCTTTACCCAAACCATATTCAACCAGATTACTTTATTTTATTACTAGTGGCTTAGCCAAATTTGTATATTGAAGGCCAAACTTCACAGCTCAAACGATCACCCAGCAAACAAAAGTTTTCTTCCTCATTTTAAGGATTATCCTTTTATTTCTCCAAATGGCTTTTTAGGAAAACATACTTGAGACTAGTTGGCAGAAGCAAACTGGGTTTTATTCTTGTAGCTACCATGGTGCTGAGCTTAAAGTGAGCAACTATTCATGGCGGGTAAAGTGCTGTTCAATCTGCTGTGTTTTTGCTCCAACACATCAGTAATTTTATCACATTAAAACTTGTGAAAAGCATGGAATGGTATTGAAGGACAGAGGGAATAAAATTTTGTGTACTTCGCAACTTTAATTATACATACATTCAACCATTGAATAATCAAGACTGTATCTAACTATGACTCCTAGCATCATCCAGAGCTTTTTTCACCTCCTGAGTTACAATGTTCTCTGTCCCTTATTGATTCAACCAAAGACTATATCAGCCTGAAAATCTCTCTGTGAATGATAGACCTCATTGTCTGCAATGTCCATCCATCCATCCATCCATGTTCCCAGGAAAAGAGGTCAGCAGGGAGTCCAGGACACTAAAGTGCTGAGGAACAGAAATAGGAAGATGAAAAGTACAAGTTCTACTGTCCAACTAAAGAAAAAGACATGGAAGCATCAGATTCCCCATGAAAGCCTGCAGATGGTTTGAAATGGCCCTCACCAGGAAATAGATTATACTGGTATTTGGAATTCATCTCATGCAGTTGGGTAACTTTTTTTTTTTAATTTGAAGGTTGCAAGTGATGGTTGGGTTGGAAAAGGGTAGCTGGGATTTATTCCCACCACTCATACAGAAACATGAGCAAATCCCATTCACGCCACTCACTCCTAGTGGGGTTGATCAGGGTCACAGAGAGGAATGGAACCTTGCAAATGGCTGATCTGTTGTTGCAGGAAGCTGGTTTCAAGTGGGCTTCTTGGGAGATGGGGGAGGGGGGGGAAGATGGGCTGGATGGGGATTTCTTAAGGATCTCAAGAAGAAAAAAGAGAATTTATAGAACCAGTGACTGGGGGTATTTTGAAGACAAGGAGCACTCAGGCAGAAAGCAACCTACCGTGATCTAGCAAATTGCTACTGTATTTCAAGAAAGGACCAGCTGAGATGATGGCTGATGGAGGCTTCCTTCCCACTATCACAGAGTCTGGTGAATGGCAGTTCTAAAACAGGGAAAACAAAATGTCATTATCTTGTTCAAGAGAACTGTCAGCCCAACAGACCAGACTAAGACACCAATGTTATGTAGGTCAGGATTACCATATTTTTATTGTAACTGAACCTTGCACTTTATGGTCATGTAAACCAAGGAGGGGCTTGGCTACGCTCTTTTCTCAAATTGGTTTCCTGGGAGACCTCAAAATTTCTGGTTTGGAAAGACAAAAAAACCCCCAAAACCCAGCAAAACACAAAGTGACTCTATGGCAGATCTCAAACTGACTGTTCTGGAGAAGCAAGACTTTAACAGTTGCAACAAGGAAGAAATTGTTGGACTCAAATACAATCTCTATGGCAATCTTAGAAGGTCTCAATAAACACAATAGATTTTTTTTAACACATTACACGTAATCTGCACAACCAACTTATCCTCCCCTCCCTCAGCCTAATCATCTATGCCTCTGATGAACGCTGATGCTTTTTAATAAAATACGTATTTTAATAAAATATATTACAGGCAGTCATCAATTTATTATCACAGTTGAGATCTGTAATATCAACAAGGCAACATTGTGCTCGATTTTACAACTTTTTGTCATGGTTGTTAAGTGAATCACTGCACCTTGTTAAATGAATCATGCAGTTGTTAAGGGAATCCATCTTCCCCCATTGACTTTGCTTGCCAGAAGCTGGCTGGGAAGGTTTTGCAAATGGTGCATGATGCTGGGACACTGCAGATCATGTAAATACTTGCCAGTTGCCAAGCACAGGAATTCTGATCACCTGATCATGGGGATGTTTCAATGGTCATAAATGGACTGGCTGTAAGTCACTTTTTCTGTGCTGTCATAACTTTGAATGATCACCAAAGAAATGGTCCTATGTCAAGGATTATCTGTATTAGATTCACGAATGAAGGCGAATATACATGTCCCAGCATAATGTTGCAGGTTCCAATCTGGGTCGCTCACCAGAGGTTTAATCTTCTGAGTTTTTGGACTCATGCTGGAGCCCATCTCAGGAAAGTTATCTCTAGTATGCTGTTGTGTGTATGGTATTTATAGTATCTGTTGTAAATGGCTTTTAAGATGTTGATTGAGGTGTGTTGATGGCTGGCTTTTAAGTCATTAGCTGTCTTTTTCTTGTGCTGCCCAGCCCTGGCCCTCTAAGTACTTAATAAATCACTCCTGTTAACTGAGAAGGGGCCCATTTCCCAAGCTTCAATCATTTCCCCGGCTGTTTTTGTACCTGCTCATCCAACAATCTTGGTAGTTGCAAAACTGAATCCGTGTCCTTGTTCATTACAGTGTGAGGCTACCAATGAGTTCGGATCTCCTCATCTGACCACTCACATGTGTTCTTGCAATCTGGTGGTTAACTTCCTCCCCGTCTGTCCTACATAGGCACAGGGGCAATCCATGCAGGGAATCCAGTAGATTACATAGGGAGTATCTCCCAATTCCAAGCATTTTTTACCATGCATAAATACCATACCCAGAACAGCACACACTCTGCTAGAGAGAAGTTCCCTGAAGATGGTCTCCAGCACAAGTCCAAAGCTCTGAAGACAAAATCTCTGGTCCTGGTGATCCTGTATTAGAGTCCTTATTTTTGCTGTTACAGATTTAACAAGACTCTTCTCGTACAATGTCAAAGAGAGATCTGATCTACAGTTTCTCCTCCCTCTCTCACCACTGTGCATTTGGCCACCCAGAAGTTGCAGAGGCGGATACGACAGTGTAGATACACTTCTTCAGAATCTGCGATGAATGTGAAAACATTGAAGGAGAAGCGCCCCAACAGAGATACTCCGTCCTCCTCAACTTGCACTGTGCTGTCTTGAGGATTGGGACACCTGCAGAGGGACAGGTAAGATCAGAGAGAGGAGTAGCAGATGTTAGAAGGGATGATGAGGTCAAAGATCACTGTCAGAATCCAATCATATTTCATCTTTAATTATCAAATATAGAAACTCCCAATTCTGCCTTCTTTGGATTCTGCCATAAGAGGGAGAGAAGGGGGAGAACAAAAGGGCTTTATGGCCCTCACTTCCTTCAGTAGACTTCAAAGAGCTGAATGCTGAATGTGTGTTTATTGTAACCTATTGTAACCTCAAAGCGTTAACACCAGAGAACATTAGCATTAACAAAGAAGAGTATTTGCCTTTCATGTAGTTATCTGAAGTCTCCATCCAGACGGAAGAAAGAAGAAACGGGGTGGAATTGTGATACTTGAAACTATCACTGGGAAGGGGGGTTGATTGGGTGGGACTACTGGGGAACCCCTTAAAACCTTGAATGGGAGAGCTTGGACCCCAAGTCCTGTCTAGCATGCCTGCAACCATTTTCTCTTAATAAAGGATTCCTGTTGGAAGAACTATTCCAAGAGTTCTGTCTTCTTAAGATGCAAAGTGGGGTGGGTCCTTACATTAGACAGGACTTGCAAAATTAATCCACCTGGAAGGTAGACCCTTGCCGGGGGATTTTGCAAAAATTTACCATGTCAGACAACGAAGCAAGAGAGGGAGAAAACTCCCTGGAAAGAGAGCCGCTGACCCAGTTGGAACCTTGCCAGATGTTGGGATCCGAGAGGCCAGATTTCTCAGAAGAAGAAGTGGTGGAGACACAGGACCACAAGCCTCACTGGTCGATGGGCGTTGGAAAGAAAAGCGAGTGGGGAAAGGAATCAAGAAAAGTGACCCTGAGACGGGGGACCAAGCAACCAGAATGGAAGCAGGAGATGGAGAAATCCCTGCACGCAAGTGAAGAGGGAGGAAGCTGTATGCCGTACTCAGACTGGATCCTAGAGAGAGCTATTGACCTGATGAAGAGAACTCTCAGCTCCCTAGGAGAGGAGATTCCTGAGCCCTACGCCCGCCCCAGTTCCTGGAGCCACAAAGGGAGAGACACCGAGGGGGACGTGGAACCTGCAACCCCAGGGACATTTACTGATCCAGGAGCTCCCACCCCCTACCGGACCACAGATGGAAATCTGGACGGAAGACACTACCACCCACAATGGAGGCACCGATCCATTCCAAGACGTCCACCGTTGGAGGTGAAATTCAAAGGGGAGCCAACACGCTTGGGGTTTTTCCTAACCCAAGTCCTCAGCTACATGGAGGAATATGGGCAGGACATCCCCAGCGACAAAGCCCGCATCCGGATCGTGCAATCTGCCCTGGATGGACCAGCTGCAGATTGGGTGGTGAACCTGCATGACTCCAATGCCCCAGAACTCAGTAACTTCAACCGTTTCATGTCCTCGTTGAGAAGACGATTTGAAGACCCCCTGGCTGATCGCAAAGCCCGTGAAAGAATAACAACGATGAGGCAGGGCAAACGCCCAGTGGCTGAGTATACACAAGAATTCCGAGCCATTGCCAGCAAACTGAATTGGCCAGAAGACATCCTCCTTGGCCGTTTCAAAGACGGACTAAACTATGATCTATATGATGCTTGCCTGCCCCGAGGAGACCCACATCGACTTGAGGAATGGTACGTCTTGGCAGAGGAAGCAGAGATCGACATATTGAAGAGGCATCGCCGAGGAAAACAATGGAGCCGCCCCCCGCCTGAGCTGACACACCAACCGGTGAAATCATCGGATACAGCCAAGAAGCAGATGGGGTGTTTCAAGTGCGGAAGAGAAGGGCATCGAGCTGTAGAATGCCGCTCAAAGGCCCCCCAGCACAACCCAGACAGATCCCCAATCAACAAACCCAGAGGGTATTCAGCTAAGCCAAAAGAAACAGCCATGAAAATGATGGAAATTGCAGAAACCCCCACCTCTGCTCACCAAGGGGAAAGAACTCCAGCCTACACCACAGGGACGGTGGATGCCTCAGATGACAGCTCGGAAGGCGAACCCCTGGTAAGTGGACGCATCACACCCATCTTCAAAACAGTGACTATATTAATCCCCCCCATGCCCGAAGCTGTGAAGGTGAAAGCCTTAATAGACTCTGGCTGCACCCGCTGCCTCATTAGCCCAACACTAGTGGGGAATCTGGGCATCCCATCCAGGAGACTGGAACAACCAATCTCATTTGGCCAGCTAGATGGATCCATAGCAGGGGGGGTGCCAGCTACCCTAGCCACTCTGCCAATACACCTCTCCCTGGGCAACCATGAAGAGGACTTAACGTTTGTGGTGACCCCAGGTATGGAATGCCCAATGATTCTAGGGATGGAATGGTTGAAAAAATGGAACCCCTGGGTAAATTGGAGGACGACAGAAATCAAATTCCCGAAGGGGGACCCTATGGACTTAAAACCCCAAGAGAGGCTACCAGAATCAAGAATAGAAAAAGCATCCATAGGAGAGGAAAAAAGATTAACAGAAATACCAGAGGAATATAGGGACCTTGCTGAAGTCTTCAGTGAGGAGAGGGCGAATGAGCTTCCCCCCCACCGACCCACAGACTGTACCATTGAATTCAAGCCTGGGGCAAAACTCCCGAAACCCAGATTATACTCCATGAGCCCAAAGGAGAAGGAGGAAATGGAAAGATTTATAAAAAAAAACCTGGAGAGAGGTTTCATTGAACCAGCTAAGCCTAAAGTGGCTGCCCCGGTCCTTTTTAGAGAGAAGAAGGATGGCTCTTTACGTTTATGCGTGGATTATAGGGCCCTGAACACAATCAGTGAAAGCAACCTATACCCGCTGCCCCTCATGAAAGACATGCTGTCACACCTATCGAAAGGGAAAATTTTTTCTAAACTAGACTTAAGGGAAGCTTACTATCGCGTGAGAATCAAGGAAGGGGACGAATGGAAGACTGCATTTAACTGCCCCATGGGGTGCTATCAATTCAAAGTCTTGCCATTTGGATTACAAGGGGGCCCTGCAGTCTTTATGCAATTAATCAATGACGTTCTAAGGGAGCACCTGTTTAAGGGGGTCCTTGTTTACTTGGACGACATTCTTATCTTTACCGAAACAAAAGAAGAACACGTCAAACTTGTCAGAGCGGTTTTAAAGAAGCTGCGAGCCGCTCACCTATATGCCAAACTCTCAAAATGCGAATTCCACCAGGAAAGGATAGACTACCTAGGCTATCGCATATCCCCACAGGGCATTGAAATGGACCCAGAGAAGGTCAGAGCAGTATTAGAATGGGCACCACCCCGCACAAGAAAGCAACTACAAAGTTTCCTGGGCTTTGCAAATTTTTACCGCCAATTCATCCCCTCATTTGCACAGATAGCCTTGCCCCTCACCAACTTACTAAAAACGAAGGGAACATCCTCAGTAAAACCTAGCCAGCCACTAACATGGACAATGGAGTGCCAAGCAGCGTTTGAGAGACTAAAGAGACTTTTTTCTGCCGAACCAGTACTAAGGCACCCAGACATGGACAAGCCCTTCATAATACAGGCAGATGCAAGTGATGTGGCAGTGGGGGCTGTGCTATTACAAGAAAATGATGATGCAGTATTGCAACCCTGTGCATATACATCCAAGAAACTCACGGAAACAGAACAGCGCTGGCCCGTATGGGAGAAGGAGGCTTATGGGATACGTTGGGCATTACTCACATGGCGACAGTTCCTGGAAGGCAACAAAATCCCCTTCCAGGTGTGGACTGATCACAAAAATTTGGAAGCCCTGAAAACTTCCAGGAAACTCAATCCCAAACAAGCCCGCTGGTCCCAGCATTTTCACCAATTCCAATTTAAGCTCAAACATTTACCAGGAAGAAAGAACTTCCTGGCAGATGCATGCCCCAATATAACAGCGCACGAACCACAGACTCTAGACCAATAATGGCAGAGTCACAACTGGCAGCACCAGTAACCACAAGAACCCAAGCCAAATTAAAACCACAACTGGACAGCCAAACTGGAATTGAATTCAGAAAAAGTTTGGAAACAGATGATTGGTTCCAGAAAAATAAAAATGTGTGCACAATGAGAGACGGGTTGCCTTGGATAGGGGAAAAGTTATATATACCAACAACTCAAAGAGTAATTTTCATGCACCTTTGCCATGACACAAAATCAGCAGGGCATTTTGGATTTGTAAAAACTTTACATTTAATTAAACGGCAATTTTGGTGGCCATCCATGAAAAAGGACATTGAAAGTTATATAGCCAGTTGTCCAAAATGTGCCACGGCAAAGAGGTTGCAAGGGAAAGTGCCAGGACTATTGCAAACAGTGGCAAGTCCCTCAGCCCCCTGGAGAGAAATAGCCATGGATTTTATAGTGGAATTGCCAGAAAGCAATGGGAATACTGTGGTCTGGACGGTCACGGACTTGTTTTCCAAACAGGTGCATTTTATCCCTTGCCAAAAGATTCCCACTGCAAAAGCCTTAGCAAAACTTTTCATCCAACACATTTACAGATTGCATGGGGCACCCCAACGCATCATCTCTGACAGGGGGGTGCAATTTACGTCTGCATTTTGGAAGGAATTTTTATCCCTCTTAGGAACCACTCAGGGACTGACATCTAGCCACCACCCTCAAGGAAATGGGGGGGCTGAAAAAATGAACTCAGTACTTAAGCAATATTTAAGATGTTTTCTTAGTTTCCAGCAGACCGAGTGGGCGGACTTACTCCCCTTTGCAGAAGTTGCCTACAATAATGCAGTCCACTCCAGCACAGGTTACACTCCTTTTCAAATAGCCACCGGTCAAAGTTTCAACCCCATGCCAGAATTAACCCCAAACGAACCAACGATCCCCTCGCTGAAAGAATGGATGGAAAAATTACAAAACACCTGGCCAATAGTCAGAAAAGCACTAGATGAAGCTAGGCAGGCTTACAAAACACAAGCCGATAAAAAAAGGGTTGAGCCTACACCATTCATTATAGGAGAGATGGTGTACTTATCTACAAAATACCTAAAGTCCCTACAGCCCTGTAAAAAACTTGGACCAAAATACATAGGACCTTTTCCAATTAAAAGAATCATAAATCCAGTAACAGTAGAATTAGAATTACCCAAAAATCTCAGGCAAATACACCCAATTTTTCATTGCAGCTTGCTGAAAAGAGAGCATCAGTCACCTCTACGGCCAAAAATCCCCCCCCCACCACCTCCAATCATGGTGGAGGGTGAACAACACTTCGAAATAAAGGAAGTCCTTGACTCTAGGAGATATCATGGAGCAACTCAGTACCTAGTTGCCTGGAAACACCTCCCTCCCTCACAAAATGAGTGGGTCCATAAACGTCATGTCAGAGCCCCGAAGCTATTGAAGAAGTTTCACACAGAGTATCCTAACAAGCCTGACTAAATTTTATACTTGTGTTTTCTTTCAGGTGGATCTCTCTTATTTTTAAGAGGGGCCGGATGTCAGAATCCAATCATATTTCATCTTTAATTATCAAATATAGAAACTCCCAATTCTGCCTTCTTTGGATTCTGCCATAAGAGGGAGAGAAGGGGGAGAACAAAAGGGCTTTATGGCCCTCACTTCCTTCAGTAGACTTCAAAGAGCTGAATGCTGAATGTGTGTTTATTGTAACCTATTGTAACCTCAAAGCGTTAACACCAGAGAACATTAGCATTAACAAAGAAGAGTATTTGCCTTTCATGTAGTTATCTGAAGTCTCCATCCAGACGGAAGAAAGAAGAAACGGGGTGGAATTGTGATACTTGAAACTATCACTGGGAAGGGGGGTTGATTGGGTGGGACTACTGGGGAACCCCTTAAAACCTTGAATGGGAGAGCTTGGACCCCAAGTCCTGTCTAGCATGCCTGCAACCATTTTCTCTTAATAAAGGAGTCCTTTTGGAAGAACTATTCCAAGAGTTCTGTCTTCTTAAGATGCAAAGTGGGGTGGGTCCTTACAATCACTTCATGTTTACCTGTTGCTCACTTATCATTGATACAATACAGGTAGTCCTCAACTTATGACCCCAATTGAGCCCCAAATTTCTGTTGTTAAGTGAGACATTTGTTAAGTGAGTTTTGCCCCATTTTATGACCTTGCTAACCAAAATTGTTAAGTGAATCACTGCAGATGTTAAGCAAGTAACAACTCTTGCAAGAAAGGTTGTTCAGTGGGGCAAAACTCATTTAATGTCAGAATCCAGTTATATTTCCTTTCTATCTTCTCTGATATAAAACCAATTCTTACTCTCTCCTGGATCCTGTCATACTACTAAGGGGGAGGGGGTATGCATGGGGGTTTTATTATTTTCACTTCCTCTATTCACTACAAAATAACCTTTTGTTGATTCGCTTTGGGTCTGCTAGCCATCACAATGTAACATTTGCCTTTCATCCTATGCCCCTCTGAACTTCTCCTCCTTACCGGCCAGCGAGAGAAAGGGGGGGGGGGGGAAGATGCAGCCTCCAGGATCTGTGTGAGGAGATGTTGAATGATCATGCCCAACGGAGCAAGATTGAAGTTATCTTTCCTGGATTTAACACCTAGAAATCTGCCGGTCTGAATCGACCAGAAGAACTGCGGGGTGGGGGCTGCTTAGGGACACTTTAAAACATCGAATTGTAAGGGAACCCCTCAGATCCTGTCTATCATGCCTGCTATCAATTTCTCTTAATAAAAGTCCCTGTTGGAAGAGATCATTTCCAAGAGTTCTGCTTTCTTAAGATGTGGATTGAAGTGGGTCCTTACACTTAACAAGTGTTTTCTTAGCAACAGACATTTTGGGCTCAACTGTGTTGTAAGTCGAGCACTATATATATATATATACAAATCAGGCTAAAAGCAGCTTATTCTTAGTACTGCAACTTTGTTTGCCAGTTAGGTTCTGATGCCAGCCATTAGGAATCTTATTACTATCTCAAAGGCGACCAATGCTGTAGCTCCTCAATTCTCTGTATTTCCTCTTCTTTGAATGGCAGATCCCACTAAGCACAGATGAGAAACACCTGCTCTTTCAGATAGTAATAATAATAATAATAATCATCATCATCATCACTGATCATCATCTTTATTGATTAGCCCGTGGGCCATATCAAGGTGCAGAGTTCCAAACACATGTTATACTAAAATGCAATAAAAACATTTTAGAATGGAATTAGTTAAAGTATAATTTAGGATAAAATAGAAATAAAATACAATTTAAAATGAAATTAGAATCAAATACGGCAATTTAAGAGGTAGATAGACCAAATATGATAAAATTATATTTCACTATCACCCCTACAATCGACCCCAACCAGTCTCACCTATTCTGATCTCAGCCGAGTCATTTTGCTCAGGTATTGTGCTGTGTTAAATGCAATTTTCAACATCTTTCAGATGTTCCTAAATGACCTCACATCCCTCACTACTGGAGTTGCTAACGGGGACAAGAAGTCCTCTCCACCCCAAAGTACCTAAACTCTGTCTCCTTTCCATTCCCACGAACAGCTTACTGGTTGGTGATGAGATCCCACCGAAGGCTGGAGGAAGGGTCTCTGTCTGGTGTGGCCCAGCACGAGGACAAGGTGACCACAAAGCGGCTGGGGTCAGCTCCCAAAACCTTGATGCCCACATAGGCTTTGTGGTTGACCGTGAGAAAAATAGGGCTCTGGGCAAACGGTTTGCTGTACTGGGGATCTTGGTACAAGGTCATGATGGCCTGGTAGTTCCCTTGGCCAGAGGAGATGGTCATGTTAATGATGCTATCAAAGGAATAAAAGAGAAGAGAATTATCATGCTTTTTGTCAAAGTTATGGAGAAAGCGTGAAGGAAACATCACAAGTTCTCAGAGATAACTGTGTTGTAGGAATGGGGGATATGGGAGAGAGATAAGAAGAAAATAGTTAAGAAACAGCAGAATGGAAGCCTTGGTGAGACTCTTGGCAGAGACTTTTATTTAGAAGATCCTGTAGGGTTGGTTTAACACTATGTAAGAATTCTACAGAAATCTTTCCACATACAAATTAAGTTCTATAGGAATAAGAAGATCCTGGATCAAATTCTGAGTCTTCTTTAATACATGCTTACAATACGGCTAAGCTAAATGTCTGGGCAGGGTCTCAAAGCACTAACTTTGCTTAAATTAAGCAACTCTGGTGAGGGACAAATCCTTCCTTCTAAAAAGAAAGTATGACCTGCATTTGTTACATACCAGGAGTATGTTGAAAATATCACTAAACAATTTATGTGAAACAGACACTTCAAACAACAATCTTAGCCAGATCGGTTATAAACATAGTAGCTGCATTTGTATAACATACTAAGGCAGGGGTGGGGAACCTTGGCCCTTTTATGACTCATGGACTTCAACTCCCAGAATTCCTGCGCCAGCCATGCTGAGGGGAAAGGGAGAGGTTTCCATGCTGAGCCATGCTGGCTCAGGAATTCTAGGAGTTGAAGTCCACAAGTCATAAAAGAGCCAAGGTTGCCTACCCCTGCACTAAGGCTTCACTGTGATAAGAGCAGTGTTACTCAACTTGGCAACTTTAAAATGCGTGGACCTCAGCTCCTAGAATTCCTCAACCACAGACATGTCAAACTTGCGACGTCACGCAACGTATCGGAGCTTTTTTGCCATTGCTGGCAATAGGGTGGGCGCGGCTCCTGTATGATGAAACTGGCCCGCGGGCCAGCAGTTTGACACCCCTGCTCAACCAGTCAAAGTCCACACATCTTAAAGTTGTCCAGATTGATAAGCTCTGGGTTCAACTTCTTGTGGTTCAGTGTAACTCAGATTGTTTGATTTAGATTATGATTCAATCTATTGAGTAAACCCTAAATAGTAACCAAGGAAGCAGGATCTGTGAACTCCAGTAATGTATTTTTACATCATTGTAATGCATCATAAGACACGGCATCACCGTGCATCGGTTTTTACTCCGATGTACCCACCTGGAGATGCAATGCCTCAGTGGTAGTATATCAATATTGTAAATAATTCTAAGTAATGAGTGGTCTATTTTTGCCCAGATTTCAAAAAGAAAGGACTGGGCTATTTAGGATTTTTGAGGAAGTTCTGCCACCTAGCGGTAGAGAAGGAAATTCTAACCACATTATGGAATGATCCGGAGATGTTATCTTCTCAACATTCACATCAGTGGTGGGATTCAGCCAGTTCACACCACTTCAGCAGAACCGGTAGCTAGTATTTTGTTGCCCAGGCCCAGAATGGACTTCTGGAAGAGGCATCCACATAGAGAACCGGTTGTTCACATATTTGAATCCCACACTGATTCACATATTGGCTCTTTCCCTAGTGATCTCACTGCTGTCAGTTTTTTTCCCCAGCTTCAGTTCAGATTTGAAGCAGGGTGCCACAGAATAGAAACCAGACAGGAACATGCAGTCCACGTACCACTCAGGGTTCTAGAGCAGGGGTGTCAAACTCAATTTCATTGAGGGCCGCATCAGTATTACGGTTGTCCTGGGGGGGGCAGGTAGGTGTGGCCAGGGTGGGCACGGCCTACTGGGTGGGCATGGCTGAAGTGGGTGTGGCCTACTGGTGGGCATGGCCAGCTCTACATCATTCGCGTCAAGGGTGCCTGTGGGGGCCTGGGTAGGAGTGGGACAGATCTGAGGGTCTCTGGCAGAAGGGGGTGGGACCAGGACAAGTGCCAAGGCATAGTCAACTGGAAGAGCCTGCTGAAACCCCTCCCCTGGAACCCATCAAGCCGGATATGTGAAGTAGGCGAGGGCCATTTGCTGGCCACTTCCAGGCAATGGTGCATTTCTTCAGTCTTCACAAAGGGTGACACCTGCCCAGCATGCACCCAGGGGGTGGGGCTGATGCAGCAGGGGCCGGTCCCTTGTTGTTTCCAGGTGGCCTTGTGGAACTAAGACTGAATGCGTTTCAGCATAAATGGCCACCACAAAATTATACATTGGCTCCCGGCTAGCCTGGTCCAGGGCCAAGGCAGTGGGGGCCGTTCCCTCACTGTTTCCAGGATGGCTTCGCAGGCCACATGAAACCATGTCATGGGCCACATCCAGCCCCCGGGCCTTGTGTTTGACATGTCTGTTCTAGAGTGTGAGGTGTGTAAGAAAGGAAAAAGGAGAGGGAAACAGCAAATAAGGAAGCAGCAAATCCTTCACACCTGGAAGACAGCAGGAAAATTGAACAAAAAGTACACAAAAGTAAACAGCGTGGTAATGTGTGGGATTTTAATAAGAAGGAAGAATGCAAGCATGGGAAATTTGTCCAGCTGAACTCACTCATGGATGGGGTAGATGACGGGTGCTATGGAGAGATTGATGTTTAGTGGGAAAGCACAGGAGAAGCGCAGGAAAAGAAACCGGTCTCGGCTGATCATCCCGCCGTAGGTGTTCTCCAGATGACCCTGCACTACGTTGGTGTAGATAGCATGGGTTGTATTTGCCTAGAAAGAGCGGGAGAGAGAAAAAATTGGGATGAAAAAGAAGAAGAGGACAATTTCTTCTTGTTGCAACATTTGTTATCTAGGAATATGTTAATCCAGGAATAGACAACTGATTTAAAGGCAGTCCTCAACGGACCACCAATCAGGATTGGAACCTCTATTGTTAAGTGCTTTTGTTGTTGTGCCTGATTTTACAACCTTTTTTGTCATGGCTGTTAAGCAAATCATGGGGTCGTTAACAAATTGGCTTCCCTCATGGGTCTTGCTTGTCAGATGTCCCCTTAGAACAAGGGTCTTCAAACTTGGCCCTTTTATGATTTGTGGCACGCTGGCTGAGGAATCCTGGGAGTTGAAGTGCACAAGTCATAAAAGGGCCAAGTTTTGAAGACCCCTGGTCTGGATGCAAGCCTGCAGTTTCATCAAAATGGCCGACTGAGGAATTCTGGGAGTTGAAGTCTACAAGTCATAAAAGAGCCAAATTTGAAGATCATTAATGGTGATCCCATGACCCTAGGACAGTCCAACTGTCGTAAATTCATGCCAGTTGCCAAACACCCAAATTCTAATCCCATGACTATGGAGAAGGTACATTGCTTGTGAATGTCCATGGAAATTCTCAATCATGGTTGTCCCAAAGGCGCTTTTTCATGAGGCAACTGGACTTTCTTGTTTTTCTTTGAAGACATTTTGCTTCTCATTCAAGAAGCTTCTTTAACTCTGACTGGATGGTGGGGAAGGGAAGGATTTATATTCCTTGCAGACAGCCGGTCATTTGCTTCTTTTAGAGAGTCGTTGAAGCCACTAAAAGAATGCAAATGCCCCGTTGTCTGCAAGGAATATAAATATAAATAAATTTAAATCCTTCCATTCCAGTCCAAGCTGAAGAAGCTTCTTGGATAAAGAAGCGAAACGTCAGAGCTGAAGAAGTTTCTTGGATAAAGAAGCGAAACGTCTTCAAAGAAAAACAAGGAAGTCCAGTTGCCTCTTGAAAAAGTACCTTTGGGATAATGCTTGTGAATGCAAGGTTAAGTCATAAGTCACTTTCTTTAGCACCCTTGTAACTTTGAACAGTCATTAAACAAATGGTCCTAAATTGAGGACTACCTGTATCTTATTAATCTGGCTTTAGTTTTGTGAAAGGCTTGTCTAGAACTGCCCTTCACCTGATTCTTTTGACAGCAGGTCTTCCAACTAAAGCAGGGGTAGGCAACCTTGGCTCTTTTGTGACTCGTGGACTTCAACTCCCAGAATTCCTGAGCCAGCATAGCTCAGCTTGGAAACCTCTCCCTTTCACCTCAGCATGGCTGGCTCAGGAATTCTGGGAGTTGAAGTCCACGAGTCATAAAAGAGCCAAGGTTGCCTACCCCTGAACTAAAGGAATGACTATGTTGGTGCATCTCAGGTGCTTCTTGCTTCTGCCTACCTCCATTTGGGTCCCACAGGTTTTCTGCATTGTGTCAAAGTAGAAGACGAGTCTGTCCCCAACTAAGGAGCCCGTGCAACTGGGGTCAGCGAGGTGGAGCCTTTCAGCAGAGAATCCATCAGTGAAAAGGAGGCAACGGGAGAGAGAGACCGTACTTCTGCTGCTGGTGCAGAGCAGCTGGTAATCTGCAAAAAAATGAAATCGCCCATAAATGATATTTGGCTTAACAGAATGACAGAGTTGGAAGGGACCTTGGAGGTCTTCTAGTCTAAGCCCCAGCTCAAGCAAGAGTCCCTATACCATTTCAGACAAGTGGTTGTCCAATCTGTTCTTAAAAACTTCCAGTGTTGGAGCACTCACAACTTCTGGAGGAGAGTCGTTCCACTGATTGATTGTTTTCATTGACAGGAAATTTCTCCTAGGTTGCTTCTCTCCTTGATTAGTTTCCATCCGTTGCTTCTTGTCCTGCCCTCAGGTGCTTTGGAAAATAGCTTCACTCCCTCTTCTTTGGAGCAACCCCTGAGATATTGGAAGACGTCCCCCCTCGTCCTTCTCTTCATTAGACTAGACATACCCAGTTCCAGCAACTGTTCTTCAGTCAGAGATTCTGTTTACAGATGATGAGTCACTTCATTGAACCAAATGGTGACAACCAGGATCATGTTGATTTCTTTTCCTAAATCAAACCAATGGGTTGAACTGGATTTGTCCAAACAGAACAATTAACTTTGCATTTCAGATGGAAATGTTTTGATGTTTGGAATGAAATGGACACTTTGAAAATGGATCAGGATGATTTATATCCCCCTAGAAAATCTCTTGGTCTAAAAAAAAAAATCTGACATTCTGTTGACAATTCTTCTGCATTTTAATACCCATTTTCTCCCATGAGATGGAGAAGAATTGGTCTTTTGTTTGATTTTTATTTTCAAAAGAAAATGCCCAAGAATAGGAGGTGGGGCTCTTGCTGTTTGGTTATGAGATAACAAAAGCGTAGATGCAATATGACAATAATCCCTTCAGCCTGGCTTCTCTTGTTTCTGAATATAGGTAGTCCTTGTTTAATGACCAGTCTCTTAGCAACGGTTCAAAATTACAATTCCCCCCCCCCCAAGGTACTTTACAATCAGGCTCCAGAGTTCCAATGGTCACACCCCTCCCCCCTGTGGTCACATGATTGCATTTTGTGCATTGGCAACCAGCTTGCATTTATGAATGTTTTTAACGTCCCACAATCATGTGACCATAATTTTTGGCAGTTTGGGCCAGTTTGGTGTTTATTGGGTTCATTTAATGACCAGTAGGTTTGCTTAATGACCAAGGCAAAAAAAAGGTCATAAAATTGGGCATGGCATATTGTCACCTGCTGAATGACCACATCTTATGACCATAATTCTGGGCTCAATGAAAGTCGTAAGTCGAGGACTACCTGGATTCCCCAAGTGAAGCCATCACAAAGGAATTCTTCAGCAAGCAGGAAGGAGCAGGGAGACTCCTGAGGGATGGAGATACGGTGTGTTACGGAAACACGTTGCAATGGAAATCTTGGCCATAGTGCAACAGTTAAGAATGAGATGGAGGAGCAGAAGAAGCAAGGAAGGAAGGACGGAGGGAGGGGACTTTTCAGGAAACCGTGGAACAGAGTTGAATGATTAAGCTTTGGAAAGGCTCCGCTGGAGCCACTGAACCCAGATAGAGGAAGATAAAGAGCAGAGAGGCTGGAAATGAAAGGCTGAACGTCAGTTCATGCATAAATACATTTTTCCTCACTTGACGCCAATTTCAAGGAAGAACAACTCGAGGGTTGTTATATGGATGCCAAAAACAGAAGTCTGGATTAAGGTTTTTTTCTTTAAAAAAGTCTTCATGCAGCTGCAACCAGAGGATCAAAGCCCTTCCCCTTTTTCACACGTGAAGCTTGTAAAAAAAACGGGGCAGGACTTCCATCCCCTGGTCACAGAACCAATAAAGGAGAATATTTGTAGCTCAGGGTTGAAATGAAGGGTCCTTGGTGCTCTCCGAGCTTCCTTGTTTTCTTGCAGACGTTTCATTACCAAACGAGGTAACACCATCAGTGCCATCTTGACTTTTGACACCGGCCCCTGCAGACTCTTCTGCGGCAGCGATTTTGAACGTGAACCAAATTTGCATTCAAAGGCAAACAGTACAAAGGGGAAGACTGGAAATCAGCGCAGGCTTTTGCTTACCATAGTCAGCTCTTTTGGTGGGGCTATAAGATTTGTGGCAGAAGCAGCCCCATTTTCCTCCCCTTTCCCCACACCACTCCTCCTCTCCACAAGCCAAGTCAAGGCAGGGGTCAGCGGCAGCTGCAAAAATACAACAAACCCAAGAGGTTTATTAGCAATCGGCTTGGTCCTCGTGATATTCCTCTGCCCTTTCTTTGATTGAGCAATAATGGCAAGACATGATTCAGAGCATCTCAGCAATCTCAAGGTTATTTGCTGCGGATCTGCAGAAGTTTCATTAGGAATCAGATTTGTCAGCCTAAAGTAGCAGCCAATAAAGATAAGATAAGATAAGATAAGATAAGATAAGATAAGATAACCTTTATTGTCATTTTTTTACTGTGGGCACAACGGCACACATCAAAAAATGAAATTTAGTTGCCCGCTCCCAAAGTGAAACACATACATGACACACACCTAAACATACTATATACAACATATGTATAGACCCACACCCCTACATATATATAGCAAATAAATATTAAATGCTGTCCATCTTGAATATATAACGGAAGGAGGACGCTTGAGAGTTCACAAGGTTAATGCTGTATGGAATGAAACTCTGGCTGAATCTGGATGTTCTGCTACGGATACCATGAAGTCTCCTCCCAGAAGGTAACAAGGAAAACAGGTCATGAAGAGGATATGTAGTGTCCCAGATAATCTTACGGCCCCTGCTCAAGCAACGCTTCTGTGCTATGTCCTGGATGGGAACTACCAATGATCTTTTTGGCCATCCTCACCACTCACCTGTCCGAAGCAGGGATGCTTCCAAACCAGACTGTGATGCTGTATGACAGGATGCTCTCGATCATCCCCCTGTAGAAAGTGGTCAGGACAGGGGAAGGAAGACGTGGTCTGTTGTGTTGAAGATATCTGGGGGGGTGGGGGGGGCTGGAAGTGGATTTATGGAACGGACACTGAATCATTGCCTACCCTAAACATATCTTGTTTCTCTTTGTGCATAGTGTTTTTTTCCCCCTTTTTTTTTCTTCTTTTAGCTTTCTCTTCTATATCTTATCTATGGAGATTTTCAGTCATCCAGGTCATGGTTGTTGGACAATAAAACATAGATACTCACGGCATTGAACGGAAGCCCTCCAGTCCGGGGTCTGAATCCCCTCAAGGAGGCACATTTGTTCATAAGCTGCAAGGCTGATGCACAGCATGTTGTGATTCCTCCCGTAATGGCATAAATCATACAGGCAGGCCAAATAAAATGGGGAAGGATCCACATGCCAGTAGCACCTGGCAAACGGTCCCATTTGGCTGACCAAAATCCCACAGAGCTCTTCGTATTCCTGCAGATTTTCACAGGGCTCCAGGGTGGAATTGTCATCCATACACCTTAATAAAATAACAATAACAACAAAGCAAAAGGTCTTGGTTTTGTTAGAAGCTCCGCAGCAAAATGTAAACAAATAGAAGAGGAGATTTTGTATCTTTTTAATAGGATAGGATAGGATAGGATAGGATAGGATAGGATAGGATAGGATAGGATAGGATAGGATAGGATAGGGTAGGGTAGGGTAGGGTAGGGTAGGGTAGGGTAGGGTTGGGTAGGGTTGGGTAGGGTAGAATAGAATAGAATAGAATAGAATAGAATAGAATAGAATAGAATAGAATAGAATAGAATAGAATAGAATAGAATAGAATAGAATAGAATAGAGCTGGAAGGGACCTTGGAGGTCTTCTAGTCCAGCCCCCTGCTCAAGCAGGAGGACCTATACTATCTCAGACAAGTGACTGTCCAGTCTCTTCTTAAAAATCTCCAGTGATGGAGCGCCCACGATTTCTGGAGGAAAGCTGATCCACTGGTTAATTGTACTCACTGTCAGGAAGTTTTTCCTTAATTCCAGGTTGCTTCTCTCTTTGGTCAGTTTCCAACCATTATTTCTTGTCCTGCCCTCTGGTGCCTTGGAGAATAATTTGACCCCCTCTTTTTGTGTCAGCCCCTCAAATACTGGAATGCTGCTATCATGTCGACCCTGTTTTTTCTTTTCTCAACTTTGGCAGCTTGAAGCTGTGTGGACTTCAACTCCCAAAATTCCTCAGCCAGGGGAAGTTGAAGTCCACACATCTTCAAGTTGCCAAAGTTGAGAAACACAACTCTGGCAAATGCAGGAAATTAAGCAAGAATGTTTTATCAAACATGTTGTTGAATATTCTTAATGATCAGATGCCTTCCTTGGTGTGCATTATTAGCAATAGCATAAAATGTATTCCTAGCTCGATAAAAAGACAAAAAAAAGAGAATATCGCAATCTAGTAATACATCTGTATTACCATCAAGCTGTGGCAGCTTTTCTTTCCTACACAAATGTGCAATATAAGAGCCGAGGTGGCGCAGCAGTTAGAGTGCAGTACTGCAGGCCACTTTAGCTGACTGTGTTCAGCAGGTCAGCAGTTCAAATCTCACCGGCTCAAGGTTGACTCAGCCTTCCATCCTTCCGGGGTAGGTAAAATGAGGACCCAGATTGTTGGGGGCAATGTAAAATATATATATCTATATACATTGCTTACTGGTGTACACTGCTTAGAGAGTGCTTGCGCTTAAAGCGGTATATAAGTCTCATAAATAAATAAATAAATAAATAAATAAATAAATATTTCCATCTATTTTGGAATGCAAATTGAATTTGATTTCATTGGACGCACAATGGATCAGTGAGACTTGATATGTCATCTTTGAATCTTTCCTTACCCTGCTGGGCTGGTCTCTATTTTCCAGGCATTGCCAAAGTGCAAATCATTGTGGGCTCTGCTTCCATCAGGCAACACTTTATCATCCTCTGGAATACCATTAAAATTCCCGCACATTCCACACACCTTCCCCTGATACTCTGGTCCCACTTTGATGAACAGAGTGTGTTGGCCATTATAATGGATTTCTACATTTGCTGCTAATTTTATTATCACCATATTTTTTATCTTGGAAATGGAGCCTGTGAGCAACAGGATATGGGGCAGTTCCACCACTTCATGGTTGACCTGAAAAAGGAAAGTAGAATTAGGGAAATAGGTAGATAGATAACCTTTATTGTCATCTTTTAGTGGCACACATTAAAAACGAAATTTTGTTGCTTGCTGTCAAAAGTGTTCCCATACAGTAAGTGGGATAAGTCATATCTAATTACAAATGTGATCAAGGAAGTTTTTATTCCTTTCCTATAATGTTGGAATTTGGAGTCATTCATTACAGATGAATGGTGGAAATTTTAGGAGATAAAAGTATTTATCCACACGTGCAGTAATAGCTATATTTTAGAATAGAATAGAGTTGGAAGGGACCTTGGAGGTCTTCTGGTCCAGCCTCCCACTTAAGCAGGAGAACTTATACCATCTCAGACAAGTAACTGTCTAGTCTCGCCTTAAAAATCTCCAGCACCCACAATTTCTGGGGGCAAGCTGTTCCACTGGTTGATTGTCCTCACTGTCAGGAAGTTTCTCCTTAATTCTAGGTTGCTTCTCTCTTTGATCAGCTTCCAACCATTGTTTCTCATCCTTCCCTCTGGTGCTTTGGAGAATAACATGACCCCCTCTTCTTTGTGGCAGCCCCTCAAATACTGGAATACTGCTATAATGTCTCCCCTGTTTCTTCTTTTCTTTAGACTAGCCAAACCCAAGTCCTGCAGCCGTTCTTCATATGTTTTAGTCTCCAGGCCTTTGATCATCTTAGTTGCTCTTTTCTGATTTTTTTCCAAACTCTCAACATCTTTGATTATCAACTCTGATTATTTTAAAGGGAATTAGATTAATTATTGAAGAAAAAGGCCATTAGTAGTCACAGGCCAGCCCCAGATTCAAACACAACTTGTTGCTGGGGGTCATAAGGAGGACAGCAACAGACTTCCAATAGACATCTAATAGACATCAGAGAAGAGAATGCTGGACTAGATGAACCATTGGCCTATTCTAGCTAGGATGAGTAGAACCAGAATATATGGTGGTCTAGGATCCTAACATTAATTTGTGCAAACTCTGACTACTCGCTGGAGAAGTTCTACCCTACCATATGAGGAGACCTTTCTTCATGAAAAGATAAACAATAGTAACTTGCAGAATACCATCTCTTCGGTGTTCAGAAACATCCTGGAATGGGAATTTGGCAGAAGAGAAAGGCTCAAAAGCAGTGGTTCTCAACCTGTGGGTCGGGACCCCATTTGGGGTCGAATGACCATTTCACGGGGGTCACCAAACAACGCAGTCCGCCATTTTTTCCCCCTTTTCCTTAGTTGTGCTACTCCCTTTTATTCTATTGGCTTTCAAAAGCCAATAGGAATTGTCCAGGCTGTCTCTGCCCTGCTGAGCCCGCCAAAAGTCCCATTCTGCAAACGGTGCTGCACCAGTTGAATAGTCCTCGACTTACGACCGGTTGAGTAGTCCTTGACTTATAACCGGTTGGGGGTCGCGACATTAAAAAGGTTGAGAACCACTGCTCAAAAGGAATTGTGCTACAGTGAGAATCACATATGGCAATATTCCACATACCTCTACAATGGGACCACTCCTTAGGACAATATGGAAGCTTAGCGTGCTGCTCCACAACCAGATTTCCACTCGAGTTACAAAAGACACCGGAGGGTTTCCCCGGTGTTGATTCCATGCCACAACCCGGAAGAAGAATGGAGAGGAGGCATTGCAAGTCTTTGAGATCTCGTAGGCACAGGTGCCTTGGAAATGTGCCACCGAGCCATCAAAGGTGAAGTAATGAGGGTCCCCAGTCACTGTGCAGGTTCCCCATGGTGAGTGACAGCCTAGTTTTCCATCCTTCGCAGTACATGTCTGTTCAGGATTACAACTGGCAGCCACACAGCGGAAGTCAGAGGGGCCATAACAGCTGCACTGCTCGTGGCAACCAGGCAGCCAGACCCGGTCCCCAATCTGCAATGCACCCAAAAGAAATATGAACAATGAAGTTCATGGGATTATGAAGCTCAAGCAACACCTGTAAATGCAACTCCTCGGTATCGTGCAACGTGGTCAGAGTGAGCTCATTTACCCATTTTATTACTCCTCTGAAAATGTCCTCTAGAGATGATTTTGTCCTTAACTATGAATAGTTATTGCTGGCTTAGTGATGGCTTAGATCAGGGGTTCCCAATCAGGGGTGCGAGATGATATTCCAGGGGTGCGAAAACTTGGGTTTTCAAAATTATAGTTATATGCATAATTCGTTGCGGTTATTTTGAACTTCTGTAAGGGATGCGAGAACATATCAGAAGCGTTCTAGAGGTACGGGGTATAGAAAAGGTTGGGAACCACTGGCTTAGATCTTCTAGAGATCCTCTAGAGATGATTTTGCCCTGGCTTAATGATGGCTTAGATCAGTGGTTCTCAACCTGTGGGTCGGGACCCCATTTGGGGTCGAACGACCATTTCACGAGGGTCGCCAAACAAGGCTGTCCGCCATTTTTTCCCCCTTTTCTTTGGCCACGCCCTTGGCACCCGGTGATGTATAAGTGGTTGGGGGTCACCACAACAAGGGGAACTGTATTATGGGGTTGCAGCATTAGAAAGGTTGAGAACCACTGGCTTAGATCTTCTTCACTGTTGGGTTTTTACCCTTGCTTACTGTATTATATTTGACAAGGATGAAATCTCTCTCTCTCTCTCTTTCTTTTGAGATGCATTTAGAACAACTTTTCTGCTCTCACTAAGAGGCATCTGACTAAGCTATTTCTGCCAGAAACATTTGACCAAATAAAATGAACTGACTTTTGCCCTTGAAACAGAAGTCTGATTTTTCCCAGAAGAGTTGGGAGTGAGCGTGATACGTAATTATTCATGATACTTTAAGTACTATTTTTAACTCTGTTTATTATTATTACTTTGATCTGGATTGCTCTGTTATTCTTCTGTATTTCCTGGCACATGCTTGCTCATAATTTATACTTTGAATAAAAGCCTTGGCTAATTTGTAACATTTACTGTCTGTTTCAGAGTTCAAAATCCATCTTCACTGCTAAAAACGGATATTATCACACTTAAAACAGGATCAGGAAAAGGTCCTAGTTCCCCTCGTAGAGACACCACTTAGTTTTTCTCTCCTCTGTCAGCAAGGAGAAGAAAGAGGAGGTCAACCAGAATTCAAGGAAGATGAGGGGACAGTCTCAAAATCATCTGGATAAGCCTGACTCAATTGCTGCTTTCAGCACCATGGGTCTCTTGGATATTTGTGGTTCTAGATTCTAACAGAATATCAGTGGCCAGGACAGCTGTCCTGGCATCCCTAAGGAAGCTTCTTTCAAGACCATAGTGGAAGTTGAAATGGAGGTTACTAGCATTCTAGGTCAAAACTAAGGGAAGTTCAGGAGAGACTTTATGCCATAGCAGTCACCCAATATTATATGGTGTCACCTGGTCAGGATCTAGGATTTTACCTTATAAGTCAGCCCATTGTATATGCAGCCACACTGCTGTTCTGGAATGCAACTGTCTCCATTGCGCAAGTACCCTTGGTCACAGAAACATCCTTCAGAGCACGTGGGAAGGCAATGAAGCTCGACCCAAACATGCGAGCAGACATCCTGGCAGGGAGCCCCACAGAGTTCATAGTGGCTGTTGGTCTGGCAGTCGAGGCCTATTCAAGAAATAAAAAAACAATCCTTTTATCAATCACATGTTTGAAGCATTTAAAACTTTATGCTGGCTTACCTAAGAACCGCTGACCTAAAATGGAGAAGATCACAGGATATTCAGAATAGACATATTGAAATATTCTCCACCTACCACAGACATCTTCTATCCTCCAAGATGAGATGGTGACATTGGCTCTCTGACAAGCTGCAACATATATCTGAATGGAGTGACATAGGATGCTATTGTCTCCAGAGGAGGCGTAAAGGTCAAAAATGCAGTCTGTGAAGAAGGACAATGGATCAACTTGGAGGTGGCAAGAAGAAAATGGTCCATCTGGATTCTGGATGATCCGACACAGAGATTTAAAGTGAGTGAGATGTTCTCCTTGTTCAGACATTGGAATAATGGCAACCGTATTAGCAAGATTAGTTTCTGATCTCCAGTTCAGGACAAATTCCAATATGTCCTCTGAAGTTGAGCCATTTCTCATCATAAAGTCATCCTCCATGAGTTCATTGAAGTTCCCACATAGACCACAAGCCAGGCCCCGGTATTCAGGGGAAAGGGTAATAAAGAGATTGTGACCTGGGTCATAATTCACTATTAAGCCAAACTCTGTTTTTAAAACAGTATAAAATCCATGTTGATAAATGGTGATTCCTAAAGTCTGGATTTGAACTGGAAGGTTTACTACCACTCCATCAATCTGTGTGAAAGATGAGAACAAAGAATATTTATTGGTACCAATAGAAAACTCAGTAGCAAAAATTACATAACATGAATTTGGCTTTGGGATCTAATAAATTGGCATCGTTCCTCCAAAGCAGCTAAGGAAGAAGAGATTGTTGAAGAGAAACCACAGATGTGATGTACTGTAAGTGTCAGAAGCCTGATGTTTAACTACATTGGAACTGCAATTTCTAGCATCGCCAAACTGTTGTCTCACATCATCTGAAGAGCATCAGGTTAAGAAAGACGGAGTTTATCCTTACCAGCCCAAATTTCCACTGGTTCAATTCACAAAGAACAAAACAATTACTTAGGTATTGATCTTATTTTATTTACCTTGACTGTTCCCTGATATTCTCTCTGCAGGTATATCTGAGTATTGTTCACTGATACAATAACTCTTGATAGTACAGATAAAGGGTTGTTGAGCAACTTTTCATTCTTCACTTCAACCCTGAAAGAAGGTAAAGACTTGGACGTTGGGCACAGTTCCACCAAGATGTATGTGGAGATACCTTGGAAGTTATACTGCTGTCCATCAAAGGTAGTATAGTGGAGAAATTTAGAAATTCGACAGATACCATCTGGCAGTGCATGGCAGCCAAATACTCCCTTCTGAGTGCCACAGAATTGATCAGGGCCACAGAAGGCCCCATTAGCTTCAATGGCAGAGATGGAGCCATCACAGTAATACTTTTTTTGACAACCTTCTCCTTCCAGGAAGAACGTTTCCCCTTTTAAGTAATATCGTCCATTGTAGCTGCAGCCACACTGCTCCCAAGGCACACAGTCAGTGCCACTCAGCACAAACCCTGTTTCACACTGGCATCCTTCTACACACATGCTCTGGAAGCAGTTTGGAGGTCCAGTTGGTTGGGTGCAAGAGGCAGGGCAGGGAGAGCCACAAAGCTCGTAATAACTATTTGGTGGGCAAGTCAGTTCTGGAAGAAATAAGCATTGCCATTTAATCCAATATGAAAGAAATTGGCCAGAAAATTCTTTATGTAAAGGAAAATGAGATAGATTTAATATATATGTAGAGAGCCTATGGTCTTTCAAAGGTTGAATTCCAACTACTGTTAGTATTAATTTACATGGCCTATGATGAAAGATGATGACAATTGTCATTTAACAATATCTGAAAGACTGTACTGAAAAAGAAAGGAAGGAAAAAAATATGCAGATTAAAAATGTAAATATGGTGCAACTTCTTGTTCCATGTCTAGATCAAACTTTAGACTGCCAGAATGAAGCCACTTTCTTGGCTTGATGCTGGGCCAAAAATAAATCATTATCAGTACATGATGTGGAGCAATTGTCTGCCTTGGTATGTAGAGTACCTAACAAGAAAACAAGAACTTTTGAAACTATATTCAGTGAATTCAGTTATATTCAATTCAATTATATTCACTTACCGCACTCCGTAATTTCCCTCCAAGCCTGAATGTTGACGCCATGAATTTGACATTGCCAAGCATAGCTTTGGAGGGCTTCACACAGGCTTTTATGAGCACCTTGATTTGTGCAAAGGTCGATTACACAGTTTTCAATGTGGTTTTGAAGACCCATAAAATTCCCACATTCTTCAAATGGTCCCTCTCTATTGCTGATCATCCCACAGTAATTCTGAGATCTGAAGAGGGCTAGTTGAGTTTCACTGCATGTGGTTGGGACTCCAACCACTGCACAGTAGAAAGGGGAATCAGCTTTCTTCCAGCTGTTGCCAAAAATGTCTCTATTGTGAACTACAGAGCTGTTGGGAGTCCTGAAGTCCTGCTGATGGTTCTCACTGAAATTTCCACCAAGACCACAGAGGAAGCCAGAATAAGTCTCAGGAACAGAAACTGATACATAGTAAGACCAGTCATAGGAGATGGAGAGACCAAACTCAGTTTGAATGATGATGGACAATCCACTGTAATAGGCATAGAGTTTCCCAGAGGCCAAGATAACAGGCAGATTCACCAAAACACCATTGACCTAAGACCAAAAAAAAAAAAAAAAATGATGCTAGAAATCCTTAAGAATGAATGGATCAGCACTCCCCAAATTTTCTTCTAAGGATGATTAATTTAAGGTAAAAAGTAAAGATTCCCTTGAGTCAAGGTCTACTCAAAATAACTGCACAGAAATATCTACATGGTTTTCATAGGAATAGGGTGGACATAGCTTGGCATTGCCTCATTCTGGGATTAATACCCAAGAATCAAGATAGGGCAAGCTTGAGTTTCTTTCTCACAGTTTCTTATTTTTGGGGGCTCAACTTAGAATTTAGATCACTTTGGAGTCACGACTGAAAAAGAGTTCTAGGGCTAGATTCTAGGAGATTCTCAAAGGAAAGAGAACCTAACAACTTTGTGTTCAGACTCTTTTGTAGGCCACAGTGAAATACATGGGGAAATCCCATTGACAATGGAAATGAAACTAGGGTTAGGGTTAGAGTTAGGGTTAGGGTTAGGTCACTTTGGAGTCAGGGCTGAAAAATGGTGTGAGGCCTAGATTCTAGGAACTTCTCCAAGAAAAGAGAACCTAACAGCTTTTTGTTCAGACTCTTTTGTGAGCCGCAATGAAATACATGGGAAAATCCGATTGACAATGAAAATGAAACTAGTGTTAGGGCTAGAATTAGGGTTAGGGTTAGACGGGGCTTTTTGTGTCAGAATGCACAGAATGGCATTCTGGCACCTTTTTTCAACGGAATTTGTGGAACTAAAAAAAGTTCAATCAGACTTCCAACTTCTTGCGGAAAAAAAAAAGATCTCACAAGGAGTTGGAAGGTCTGACTGAACTTATTTTAGTCCCACAAACTGCATTTCCCTGCAGCAGAAGAGAAACACACCAGAGCTGGAAAGCAGGTTAGCAAAGAAATGCTTTCGGGAAGAGGGAGGAGCTGCGCTGGGAGGAGAAGCGGCAGGAAATGGGGCTGCCATTTCCAGAAGCGAGAAGGGAGGCGTGGGGCAATGCAGGGCAGCAAGCAAATGCTGTTCTGTGCTCTGCATCCCAGCACAGAGCTGTTGTGTTCTCTGTTCTCTGTGAGACAGGCGGCAAAGGACTGGCGGACGGAGGCGATGGATGAGGCTTGTGCCACCCGGTCACGGCGCAAGCCATGGGAGAGTTGGCGGAGGACAAGGAGGCAGCGGCTGTGCCTGGGCAGGTGATCTGCAGGGAAAAGTTTAAAGAAAACCCCTCCAACGGCGCACAGCAGCAGCGGTTCACCGTCACTCCCCCCGGCTCCGAAATGGTGGAGGGGGACCGGGCCTACGCCACCCATCCCATCCACCTTAGCATGGCAGTCCAGCTCGGGAGGGGAGTGAAAGGTTGCTGATCAAGGAATGGCCTGGCCGGGGGTGGGGGGGTGAGTTCAGGCACCTTTTTGCTTATAAAAAAAGCACTGGATTTATTTATACAGGTAGACCTCGATGTATGGCCACAACTGAGCCCCACATTTCTGTTGTTAAGTGAGGTTTGCCCATTTTAGGACCTTTCGTGCCACAATTGTTAACTGAATCACTGCAGTTGTTAAGTTACTAACATGGTTGGTAAGTGAATCTGGCTTCCCCATTGACTTTTCTTGTCAAAGGGTCACAAAAGGGGTTCATGTGACCCTGAGATGCTGCGACCGTCATAATTATGAGTTAGCTGTACAGCATCTGAATTTTGCTCATGTGACTATGGCGATGCTGTAAGGGTCATGATTGTGAAAAATGCTCATAAATCACTTTTTTCAGTTTGTTGTAACTTTGAATGGTCACAGGACTACATGTAGCTATAGCATATTCTCCTTTCCAAGCTCTGTTCAACAGTCTGCTTAATCTGCCATCTGCTAACACTTACTCAGACTTTCTTGAACTGCATACCTTGGACACTGGTTTTCACACCAGAATGCCCAATGATAAAATTCCTCACATGTTGCTGTACGCTGTGATGGCGCAGTGGTCAGAGTGCAGTATTGCAGGCTACTTCTGCTGATTGCCAGCAATTTGGCAGTTCGATTCTCACCGGCTCAAGATAGACTCAGCCTTCCATCTTTCCAAGGTCGGTAAAATGAGGACCCAGATTGTTGGGAGCAATAGGCTGACTCAGTAAACTGCTTAGAGAGGGCTGTAAAACACTGGGAAGCGGTATATAAGTGTAAGGACCCACCCCACTTTGCATCTTAAGAAGACAGAACTCTTGGAATAATTCTTCCAACAGGAATCCTTTATTAAGAGAAAATGGTTGCAGGCATGCTAGACAGGACTTGGGGTCCAAGCTCTCCCATTCAAGGTTTTAAGGGGTTCCCCAGTAGTCCCACCCAATCAACCCCCCTTCCAGTGATAGTTTCAAGTATCACAATTCCACCCCGTTTCTTCTTTCTTCCGTCTGGATGGAGACTTCAGATAACTACATGAAAGGCAAATACTCTTCTTTGTTAATGCTAATGGTCTCTGGTGCTAACGCTTTGAGGTTACAATAGGTTACAATAAACACACATTCAGCATTCAGCTCTTTGAAGTCTACTGAAGGAAGTGAGGGCCATAAAGCCCTTTGTTCTCCCCCTTCTCTCCCTCTTATGGCAGAATCCAAAGAAGGCAGAATTGGGAGTTTCTATATTTGATAATTAAAGATGAAATATGATTGGATTCTGACATCCGGCCCCTCTTAACAATAAGAGAGATCCACCTGAAAGAAAACACAAGTAAAAAATTTAGTTAGGCTTGTTAGGATACTCTGTGTGAAACTTCTTCAATAGCTTCGGGGCTCTGACGTGACGTTTATGGACCCACTCATTTTGTGAGGCAGGGAGGTGTTTCCAGGCAACTAGGTACTGAGTTGTTCCATGATATCTCCTAGAGTCAAGGATCTCTTTTATTTCGAAGTGTTGTTCCCCCTCCACCATGATTGGAGGTGGTGGGGGGGGGATTTTTGGCCGTAGAGGTGACTGATGCTCTCTTTTCAGCAAGCTGCAATGAAAAATTGGGTGTATTTGCCTGAGGTTTTTGGGTAATTCTAATTCTACTGTTACTGGATTTATGATCCTTTTAATTGGAAAAGGTCCTATATATTTTGGTCCAAGTTTTTTACAGGGCTGTAGGGACTTTAGGTATTTTGTAGATAAGTACACCATTTCTCCTATAATGAATGGTGTAGGCTCAACCCTTTTTTTATCGGCTTGTGCTTTGTATGCCCGCCTAGCTTCATCTAGTGATTTTCTGACTATTGGCCAGGTGTTTTGTAGGTTTTCCATCCATTCTTTCAGTGAAGGGATCGTTGGTTCTTTTGGGGTTAACTCTGGCATAGGGTTGAAACTTTGGCCGTTGGCTATTTGAAAAGGAGTGTAGCCTGTGCTGGAGTGGACTGCATTATTGTAGGCAACTTCTGCAAAAGGAAGTAAGTCCGTCCAATCACTCTGTTGGAAATTTAAAAAGCATCTCAAATATTGCTCAAGTACCGACTGGCACCGTTCCGCTTGACCATCTCCTTGAGGGTGGTGGCTAGATGTCAATCCCTGAGTGGTCCCTAAAAGGGATAAAAATTCCTTCCAAAATGCAGACGTAAATTGCACTCCCCTATCAGAGATGATGCGTTGGGGTGCTCCGTGCAATCTGTAAATGTGCTGGATGAAAAGTTTTGCTAAGGCCTTTGCAGTGGGAATTTTTTGGCAAGGGATAAAGTGCACCTGTTTGGAAAATAGGTCCGTGACTGTCCAGATAACAGTATTCCCATTGCTTTCAGGCAATTCCACTATAAAATCCATGGCTATTTCCCTCCAGGGGGCTGAGGGACTTGCCACTGGTTGTAACAGCCCTGGCGATTTCCCTTGCAACCTCTTTGCTGATGCACAGGTTGGGCAGCTGGCAACATAACTTTCTATGTCCTTTTTTATTGATGGCCACCAAAATTGCCGTTTAATTAAGTGTAAAGTTTTTACAAATCCAAAATGCCCTGCTGATTTTGTGTCATGGCAAAGTTGCATGAAAGTTAGTCTTTGAGTTGTTGGTATATATAACTTTTCCCCTACCCAAGGCAATCCGTCTCTCATTGTGCACACATGTTTGTTTTTCTGGAACCAATCATCTGTTTCCAAACTTTTTCTGAATTCAATCCCAGTTTGGCTGTCCAGTTGTGGTTTTATTTTGGCTTGGGTTCTTGTGGTTACTGGCGCTGCCAGTTGTGATTCTGCCATTATTGGTCTAGAGTCTGTGGTTCGTGCGCTGTTATATTGGGGCATGCGAGATAGTGCATCTGCCAGGAAGTTCTTTCTTCCTGGTAAATGTTTGAGCTTAAATTGGAATTGGTGAAAATGCTGGGACCAGCGGGCTTGTTTGGGATTGAGTTTCCTGGAAGTTTTCAGGGCTTCCAAATTTTTGTGATCAGTCCACACCTGGAAGGGGATTTTGTTGCCTTCCAGGAACTGTCGCCACGTGAGTAATGCCCAACGTATCCCATAAGCCTCCTTCTCCCATACGGGCCAGCGCTGTTCTGTTTCCGTGAGTTTCTTAGATGTATATGCACAGGGTTGCAATACTGCATCATCATTTTCTTGTAATAGCACAGCCCCCACTGCCACATCACTTGCATCTGCCTGTATTATGAAGGGTTTGTCCATGTCTGGGTGCCTTAGTACTGGTTCGGCAGAAAAAAGTCTCTTTAGTCTCTCAAACGCTGCTTGGCACTCCATTGTCCATGTTAGTGGCTGGCTAGGTTTTACTGAGGGTGTTCCCTTCGTTTTTAGTAAGTTAGTGAGGGGCAAGGCTATCTGTGCAAATGAGGGGATGAATTGGCGGTAAAAATTTGCAAAGCCCAGGAAACTTTGTAGTTGCTTTCTTGTGCGGGGTGGTGCCCATTCTAATACTGCTCTGACCTTCTCTGGGTCCATTTCAATGCCCTGTGGGGATATGCGATAGCCTAGGTAGTCTATCCTTTCCTGGTGGAATTCGCATTTTGAGAGTTTGGCATATAGGTGAGCGGCTCGCAGCTTCTTTAAAACCGCTCTGACAAGTTTGACGTGTTCTTCTTTTGTTTCGGTAAAGATAAGAATGTCGTCCAAGTAAACAAGGACCCCCTTAAACAGGTGCTCCCTTAGAACGTCATTGATTAGTTGCATAAAGACTGCAGGGCCCCCTTGTAATCCAAATGGCAAGACTTTGAATTGATAGCACCCCATGGGGCAGTTAAATGCAGTCTTCCATTCGTCCCCTTCCTTGATTCTCACTCGATAGTAAGCTTCCCTTAAGTCTAGTTTAGAAAAAATTTTCCCTTTCGATAGGTGTGACAGCATGTCTTTCATGAGGGGCAGCGGGTATAGGTTGCTTTCACTGATTGTATTCAGGGCCCTATAATCCACGCATAAACGTAAAGAGCCATCCTTCTTCTCTCTAAAAAGGACCGGGGCAGCCACTTTAGGCTTGGCTGGCTCAATGAAACCTCTCTCCAGGTTTTTTTTTATAAATCTTTCCATTTCCTCCTTCTCCTTTGGGCTCATGGAGTATAATCTGGGCTTCGGGAGTTTTGCCCCAGGCTTGAATTCAATGGTACAGTCTGTGGGTCGGTGGGGGGGAAGCTCATTCGCCCTCTCCTCACTGAAGACTTCAGCAAGGTCCCTATATTCCTCTGGTATTTCTGTTAATCTTTTTTCCTCTCCTATGGATGCTTTTTCTATTCTTGATTCTGGTAGCCTCCCTTGGGGTTTTAAGTCCATAGGGTCCCCCTTCGGGAATTTGATTTCTGTCGTCCTCCAATTTACCCAGGGGTTCCATTTTTTCAACCATTCCATCCCTAGAATCATTGGGCATTCCATACCTGGGGTCACCACAAACGTTAAGTCCTCTTCATGGTTGCCCAGGGAGAGATGTATTGGCAAAGTGGCTAGGGTAGCTGGCACCCCCCCTGCTATGGATCCATCTAGCTGGCCAAATGAGATTGGTTGTTCCAGTCTCCTGGATGGGATGCCCAGATTCCCCACTAGTGTTGGGCTAATGAGGCAGCGGGTACAGCCAGAGTCTATTAAGGCTTTCACCTTCACAGCTTCGGGCATGGGGGGGATTAATATAGTCACTGTTTTGAAGATGGGTGTGATGCATCCACTTACCAGGGGTTCGCCCTCCGAGCTGTCATCTGAGGCATCCACCGGCCCTATGGTGTAGGCTGGAGTCCTTTCCCCTTGGTAAGCAGAGGTGGGGTTTTCTGCAATTTCCATCATTCTCATGGCCGTTTCTTTTGGCTTAGCTGAATACTTTCCGGGTTTGTTGATTTGGGATCTGTCTGGGTTGTGCTGGGGGGCCTTTGAGCGGCATTCTACAGCTCGATGCCCTTCTCTTCCGCACTTGAAACATCTCATTTGCTTCTTGGCTGTATCCGATGATTTCACCGGTTGGTGTGTCAGCTCAGGCGGGGGGCGGCTCCATTGTTTTCCTCGGCGGTGCCTCTTCAATATGTCGATCTCTGCTTCCTCTGCCAAGACGTACCATTCCTCAAGTCGATGTGGGTCCCCTCGGGGCAGGCAAGCATCATATAGATCATAGTTTAGTCCGTCTTTGAAATGGCCAAGGAGGATGTCTTCTGGCCAATTCAGTTTGCTGGCAATGGCCCGAAATTCTTGTGTATACTCAGCCACTGGGCGTTTGCCCTGCCTCATCGTTGTTATTCTTTCACGGGCTTTGCGATCAGCCAGGGGGTCTTCAAATCGTCTTCTCAAAGAGGACATGAAACGGTTGAAGTTACTGAGTTCTGGGGCATTGGAGTCATGCAAGTTCACTACCCAATCCGCAGCTGGTCCATCCAGGGCAGATTGCACGATCCGGATGCGGGCTTTGTCGCTGGGAATATCCTGCCCATATTCCTCCATGTAGCTGAGGACTTGGGTTAGGAAAAAACCCCAAGCGTGTTGGCTCCCCTTTGAATTTCACTTCCAACGGTGGACGTCTTGGAATGGATCGGTGCCTCTGTTGTGGGTGGTAGTGCCTTCCGTCCAGATTGCCATCTGTGGTCCGGTAGGGGGTGGGAGCTCCTGGATCAGTAGATGTCCCTGGGGTTGCAGGTTCCACGTCCCCCTCGGTGTCTCTCCCTTTGCGGCTCCAGGAACTGGGGCAGCCGTAGGGTTCAGTATTCTCCTCTCCTAGGGAGCTGAGAGTTCTCTTCATCAGGTCAATAGCTTTCTCTAGGATCCAGTCTGAGTACGGTGCCCAGCTTCCTCCCTCTTCCTTTGCGTGCAGGGATTTCTCCATCTGCTGCTTCCATTCTGGTTGCTTGGTCCCCCGTCTCAGGGTCACCTTTCTTGATTCCTTTCCCCACTCACTTTTCTTTCCAACGCCCATCGACCAGCGAGGCTTGTGGTCCTGTGTCTCCACCACTTCTTCTCCTGAGGAATCTGGCCTCTCGGATCCCAACATCTGGCAAGGTTCCAACTGGGTCAGCGGCTCTCTTTCCAGGGAGTTTTCCCCCTCTCTTGCTCCATTGTCTGACATGGTAAATTTTTGCAAAATCCCCCGGCAAGGGTCTCCCTTCCAGGTGGATTAATTTTGCAAGTCCTGTCTAATGTAAGGACCCACCCCACTTTGCATCTTAAGAAGACAGAACTCTTGGAATAATTCTTCCAACAGGAATCCTTTATTAAGAGAAAATGGTTGCAGGCATGCTAGACAGGACTTGGGGTCCAAGCTCTCCCATTCAAGGTTTTAAGGGGTTCCCCAGTAGTCCCACCCAATCAACCCCCCTTCCAGTGATAGTTTCAAGTATCACAATTCCACCCCGTTTCTTCTTTCTTCCGTCTGGATGGAGACTTCAGATAACTACATGAAAGGCAAATACTCTTCTTTGTTAATGCTAATGTTCTCTGTTGCTAACGCTTTGAGGTTACAATAGGTTACAATAAACACACATTCAGCATTCAGCTCTTTGAAGTCTACTGAAGGAAGTGAGGGCCATAAAGCCCCTTTGTTCTCCCCCTTCTCTCCCTCTTATGGCAGAATCCAAAGAAGGCAGAATTGGGAGTTTCTATATTTGATAATTAAAGATGAAATATGATTGGATTCTGACAATAAGTCTAAGTGCTTTTCTATCGCTGTTGCTACTGGGAAGGCCCTTTCTTTAGAGTTTGCAGAATGCCCTTCTTACCTGCACTTTGCCTTCCTGTCCTTCTTTTGCAGCGATGCGCTCCCCATATACATCCAGCAGAACTTGCCTAGTCGAAGATGCTGCAGTGGAGTATCTGTGCCCATTTACTATGTGGATAGTGAAAGCAGGTAGCTTGCCGGGAGGGCCACAATACTGGGTGAGGACATACGTGCATGCTCCTTGGTAGCTAAAGGCTGCCCCACTAAAAGTGATAACATGAAAGTAGCCAAATACCCACATAGTCCTGTACGACACAGGATAACAGTCCCAAATACCATCCACAGCTTTGCATATCTCCAGAGGCCCACAGGTAAGCACTTGGCACTCAAGAGGGTGGCCAGGTTGTTTGCAGGTACACTTTTTGATGCAAGTGTCTGGCAGGACCACCTCTTCTCCCAGCTGATAGTTGCGGCCGTTGTGCTGACAGCCGCACTGTCCCAGGGGAATGCATGCGTCTTCGTTCAGGACGTGCCCTTCCTGACAGGTGCATCCTGCTATGCACGGCTCAGGGCATTTGATGAGAGCTGTGTGGTTGGCACAAGTGAGTGGGCAGGCTGTGCCACAGAAATCATAGTAAGCATTGGGTGGACAGGTAATAGCTAAGGAGAAAAGAAAACAAAAGGTTAAAATGAGACACAAACATCATCCATGTTTGGGAAGCAGGAAGGTTAAAAATAGGGTTTTGTAAGTCTTTGGTGTAGAAAACCAAACCATGAATTGGGGATGTAAAACTCTGTCCCTCCATCTCTGCTCATTCTGGATACTTGTAAATAAATATATCCCTAACTGGGACTTTGCTTAATAGGAAGCCAGCCGAAAATTGATATTAATAAGACGGTTCGTACTTTACAGGTAGACTTTGACTTACGACCACAATTGAGCGCAAAATTTCTGTTGCTAAATGCGACAGTTGTTAAGTGAATTTTGCCTCATTTTATGGCCCTTCTTGCCACAGCTGTTAAGTGAATCACTGCAGTTGTTAACGACACAGCAGTACAGTGAATCTGGCTTCCCCACTGGCTTTATTCATCAGAAGGTCGCAAAAAGTGATTACGTGACCCTGAGACATTCCAACTGTCTTAAATATGGGCTAGTTGCCAAGGGTCCAGATTGTGATCACATGACCATGGGGATGCTGCAACGGTTGTAAGTGTGAAAGAAATGCTCATAAGTGACTTTTTTTCAGTGCTGCTGTAATTTTGAACAGTCACTAAGTGAATGGTTATAAGTTGAGGACTACCTATAATTCCTAGAAACCTCCAAAGGAAACACAAGGCCAGAGGTCTTCAAACTTGGCAACTTTAACAGTTATGGACGTCAACTCCCAGAATTCTGCAGCCAGCCTGGGAGTTGAAGTCCATAAATCTTAAAGTTGCCGAAGTTGAAGACCACTGCACAAGACAGTCCAGGAAATCTCTGAAACTTTCCATACTTCAAAACTGGGGGGAAAAAAACCCCACATTTTCACACTAGGACGTTTTGAGGGACCAAAAGGAAAGAGGTTCCTTGCTCACCACATCCCAGCTCTTCCCTCCAGCTGGGCACCTGCACTCCGAGAGTCTGGCATATCTCCTCATAGGTTTCTATAGCCGCACACAACATGTCATTGTCTTGTCCGTACTGGCAAAGATCAAAAATGCAGGAGTTGTAATATGGAGCAGGATCCTCATGCCAGTGGCACTCTGAGAAAGGTCCAGATCGATTTGTGAAAATCTCACACTTTTGTTCCAGGTCTAGGTGATTTATGCATGGTGCAAGAGCACCTGTATCATTAGTGCATCTGAAAGGCAAGAAAACCTCATTATGTTATATGCAGACATTATATTGAGCCTTAATCGTATGGCATCAGTAGTTATCTGCTCTTTCATATAAAATAACTTTTTAAAAAATTCATCTTTGCTTAAATCAGTACTTTTTCAAATTTAGCAACCTGTAGATGCGTGGACTTCAACTCCCAGAATTCCCCAGCCAGGACACTGGGGAACATAAGGACATATGTTTACATGTACATAAAGGATATTGCAGGAGAAATTTGAAGAATGGGGACTCAAACTAGAAGCCAAAAGATGTCCAGGAGATGTTAAAGAAAAAAATGACAGAGGTAAACAAAAACACTTTGGAAGATCTACAGAATAAAGAGCTGAAACAAAGTTCATCTGATGCAGAAAAATTAGAACATACAGTAAATGTTGAAATATAGAAAGTTGAGATGGATAAATGATGGATGGATAAATTATTATTTTTTTGAGTAGACAAAAGGCACTATCTACATTTACTGGAGATTCTTATAGACTTTTTACATAAAAATGAAAAAAAACCTTGTGATTTATGGTTCTGATGTTTAGACAGGATAGATTATAGAAAGAAGATAATACAAAGATAATGTCCCTTTGAGAGAGAGACATTAAAGTATAAATATAAATTATCAGTGCTATGAAGAACATTGAAAACTCCTTTACATATTTTTCTTTTTTCTTTTTCAACTGTTTTTTCTTGCACTTTTTGCTTTCTTTTTTTTTACTTTATATTAAAATAAAAATCATACATAAAAAAGAAATATGGAAAATAAAAAATAAAATAAAAATATATGGAAATATATGACACATGACAATTAAAGTGGAAATACAAATGATAAGCAAAGAGAATGATTTAGATAATGACTTTTTATTGGATATACAAAAGAGATTTGCTAAAGTCTTGAAGAAGTTTTTGAGATGGGGAAAAAGAGAAACTGAAGACAAATCCAATTCTATAATAACATCTGAATGAATTAAAGATCAAGATTGCTAGAAGCCAAAAGAAGAAGTATAAAGTTGGTTTATGTGACCAAGGTTAAAAGAAGACAGGTTTCTATGACATTTTGGAAACCCTTCGTTCATTAATACTAGAACTGAAATGTTAATGATTTATAGATTTGAGTATGAATAAGGGGTGAGTTCTGGGAAAAAGAGATACTTGCATACAACCTTAAGGGGATGAAGAATTACTAAGTTTGTTTGTATTAGTTGTGATGAAGATCAGAAGTCATTTCTTTAAATATATTTTAAAAACATTATTTCTTTTCTTTCTATTTTCTTTCCCTTTCTATTCTTTCTTTCCCTTTCTGAGTTAAGTTTGTATGTCTCTTATTATATTTGTAAAAAGAAATCATTAAATTATTTCTAAAAATAAACATAAAAGATAAAGAAATCCATTATAAATCAAACTTACCTTGAGGGGCTGATGTCAGACATCCAAGCATTTCCAAATTCAGCATCATTTTTGCCTTTTTTCCCATCAGGCAAGGCTTTGTCATCATCACGATAGCCATTGAAATTCCCGCACATCCCACTCAGCTTCCCCCAATATTTAGGACCCACACGGACAAACAAAGCATGGCGGCCATTGTACTGGACCTCCAAACTGGGATGGGTTCTTACAATTAACATCTGGCTTCTCTTTGTGATGTTGGCTAAATGCTCTAGTTTTGCTGGCAAAGCAATTTGTCTCCCATCAACCTAAAAATAGAGTGGAAATCCAATTAGGCATGTAATCATTTGTATGGGGAGAAGAAGAAGAGCTGAGGGCTTTAGCACAATATGAAGCCCATATGATCTCACATGAAGGGTGAGATCCCAAAATATTGTAGCCATTGTTTTAATTATCCTTGTTTGTATTTCATAATCCTAATCAGGATGTTTTTGAGAAAAACGGGGGAACATAGGTTCCTATTCTATACTGTAATAGCTATGATCATTTGCAAACCGATTCATATTAATTTGAAGGCACTGGGTGAGATTAGACTCAAGGGAGAGTTTGAAGTAGTGGGACACATTTAATTCTTCTGGTGACCTGGGAAAGAAACCCCCTGAATTTTCTTTAAGCTCTCTTGAAGAAAACATGAGCTATAAGAATAATAATAGATTAATTAGGCTTAATCATTAGAGGCCAAATAAGAGTTAAAACTGGATATATATAGAACCGAATTTCATGTTTCTTATATCTCTGTATTATGAGAACATGCTTTCAAAAGCTCAGATTCAATCCCTACCATAGTTAAGAATGTCTTGTTCTTGGGAAAACTACCTATTCTAACATCATAGTGGACAAAGTCACTAGTTGGTTAAATAATTTACTTGGGTTTTTCTGTCCTAAGCATTGAAATTCTTGACTGATGCAGAATCATAGCAACTAAGAATTGGAGGGATGTATATGTGCCATTCCCTACTAATATATGGAAAAGTACAACATCCCAACAAATAGGACTTCAGCTTCTTCTTGAAGATTTTCAACAAAGATCAACCCATTGGATAATTTCATTGTCAACCTTATCTGGTAAGATTTAGTTAAAATCTAGTATTCTGTTATCTCAAGAAGTAACATATCTTTGCTCATATGTATGCACAACCAGCCAGATCTTATCTCTCTTTTTTCCAAACTAAATATTATTTCTTAAAACTTTTGCTATCATTATCAACATCATCATTCCATATTTTCCAAATGGTCATTGATTATGTTGATTTATTATACAGTTTTTTCCCTTCCTCCTCTTTTTTTTTTTTTGGCACGTATCTAGAAGTTGTCCTCACCTTCACATCTTTTCCTTGTTCCAAAACAATATGAGAACTGAACTGCTTGAAGCTAAGCCAAATGTCCACTCGGTAAATAAAAGATACTTGGGGATTCCGGAAATTTTTATTGGTAGCCACAACCCGGAAGGAGAAATCCAAGGAGGAGTTGCGTGTCTTTGAGATCTCATAAGCACAACTGCCCTGGAAATGGGCTATGGCCCCATCAAATGTGAAGTAGTGAGGGTCTCCAGAAACAGTGCAAGTGGTCAGCTGATTCTTGCAACCCAGCTTTCCATCCTGAATTGCACATTGCTGGCCAGGATTGCAGCTGGCTGGGATGCAGTGAAAGGTAGATGAATTCTCACAGCTGCACCTTTTTGTGCAACCAGAAAGCCAGAGAAGGTCTCCAACCTGATAAGTAAAGCAGTAGTTAATTAATCAAGACAACACTTGAACACTGTGCCACAGTCTGCCCATCTTATTCAGATCAGTTTCCTACCTCTGCAAAATAGGTTTTGTTTATCTATTTTACTAGATTTATTTCTAGTGTTCTTTTTGATATGTTTGACCTTGGGGTACTGCCCCTGCTGCTGCTCCTGTTTGGGGCTATTCCTCTTTTTATCATTGTGCAGCTTACGTGGTGGCTCATGTTTCCTTCTTTGAAGAAGATCTATGAAAGACTTGGGAATTGTTTCTTGGGAAGCATTTCAGATCCTATGAGATTTAAGTACTCTTTTTTTTCCTCCTTAAGACCTGCTCTTAAGCTATTTTAAGAGCCGTGGTGGCACAGTGGTTAGAATGCAGTACTGCAGGCTAACTCAA